TGAAATCAGCTTAAAATTTTATCACTGCGTAGAAAAACTCGTAACAGGGTTGTGTTGTTTTGTTTTTCTTCACACTTCAATAGGAACAACTTCTGCGAGCTCTAGATTTCCGGAACAAGTTTTCTGCTCGCCCATACTTACCTTCACGTATTATACCTCTAGAAAGAAAAAAGGTGAGAGTTACACAGGTACTACTTCTGTAAAATAAACTTCCCTAGGGGTCTGACAAAGTGAACTTAACGTGTGTGTATGAGTACAGGCCTTGAAGATCCACAGAGTACAGGTTGGCAAATGCACTTGTCATCTTGATTAGAATACTGCCATTTTAAATTGCAGTTTTAACTGTTACTTAGTCTTATGCATATCTTTTGTAGCCAAACAGTAAAAGAGTTTCTTTACTTTTAGTGAGACTAAAACCTAGGATTTTGTACGTATGATAGAATGAGCTGTTTTATATATTGTCACTTTTCTGCACTTGAAACCTTTCAGGGAAGTCTCAGTGACGTAGGACAGCGTTTTCTGAAAGACTGTCAGGTTCAGAATCCCATCATTGCCCCACTGAAATACTTGTGTGAGTCTGTCACGGGGGCCTGCGAGACGACTGGGGCAGGGTGGCACTCCGTGGGAATGGCTGCCCCGGCTCAGACGGAAGGTCCATCCAGAGACCCGGTGGACAATTTCTAGGAGCCCTACTCCTCATCGGCATCCCACTGGCATTCCCACTGAACGCATGCCAGTGTGTGTGCATTGTGGTGGGAGTCTTAATGACTGATAAATCTGGCAAGTTTTAAGTTTTAAAACTCTTAGACTGACGCTTCATTAGTAACACATTTCATGCTAATATTTAGCTGCTGAAAACACAGTCAGTATCAGTGCATACTTAACAGCAGTCAGTCTTTAACAGTCATATTGTATGTGCACTGCAAGGCATGGCAGCACAGACCTGATGCTCTGTTGATAACATGAGTGAGCAACCCTCCACCAGCCCCCAGGCCCAACTTCTGGAAGATGACTGCGTTTCTAAACAGTTTCTAACTTAGAGCTTCCACTGTGACTACCTGCTTCAGAATGTTGAGGGACAGCTTTCTCAAGCCACAGCAAGTGCCTTATGTTGCTTCGCTTTTTGATTTCTTGCTTTTTCCTTGCCACACCTTGATTTATCAGCTGCTGCTTTTCTTGAAGCAAAAGCAGTCTTTTTGTAGCTCTTGAGGTTGTACTTCTTCAGTCATTTGCTATCAGTTTACTGTTGTGTGGCCTTTATTTTCAACCACTGCCCATATTTTCAAGGCCTTTGCAGTTTCACTTTTCCTATTTATAAGCTGTCCATTAAAATGACATCACAGTTGCCAAGCTCCAGTTCACTCATAACAAGTTGGTAACGAGCCTAATGGGTCAGCCTTTAGTGACAACACTTTTACTGGGCCACTGGGTACAAAAACACTTCCACAGTTTTGCGGTATTACTTGCTTATGCTTTAATTCAAAACAAGCTAGTGCTACGGTTTGCTTAGGCTCTGCTTTGGCCACACTAACCATCCACATCTATAGAGAGCTTGATGAGGTGTATCTTGGCAGTGGTGTGGCCTGTTCAGAACTGCAGATGGTATTCAAAAGGCAGGTTAACCATGAATATATTCAGTGGTACGGTTATATCTTCTGTTTATTCTTCTTCCTTTCCTAGAATTTTCAAGCATTTGATGCACTGCTTAAACTGCTTCTGAACATAGAGGATGTGTTCATGGAACTGTCATCATAACACCAAGATCTTATTCCTGGATGGTGGTAGTAAGCTCAGAGACCATCCTTTCATGTGTAAAGTTAGGATTTTCCCCATTTATATCACATTACATTTACATCCACTGAATTTTTATCTGCAAACCTATTGTCTAGTCACTTGATTTTTTATTGGGGGGGTAGGGCAGATCCTTTTGCAATTCTTTATGGTAAATTTTCATCCTTAATGCCCCAAATACCTTTGGCAGACTTTCCCACCTTACTAATACACTAGTGCTGCCATGTTTCATTTTTATTGAACTCCAGGCTTCTCCATTGCTGGTCCAGAGTATGATCAGAGTTGAAATATACCTGATTAAAGTCAAATGAGACAAAGCTGATTAAATTGAGATAAAACAAATGGTGAGGAGTGTGAATACTCTTTTGCTAAGTTTTTTCACACCTTAATTGAGAGGCCTTACATCTCTCTGTTTATCTGGGATCCAGTGCTTTACCTGGAGGCTTCAGTTGAAAGCTGACTAAGCATATTTTCTGTGTGATGATCAGGTATAAGGACAATACAAAGGAAAATACCTCATTTTAGGGAAGAACCTCTGCAGGTTGCTAGGAAGGCTTTCTCCATCTTGCCTGACTTTTTCTAGTTTCAGAAGATGATTAGTGCATTTTCTAAATTATATCTTCTCTTTGGCAAAGCTTTTAAACCGGGGTTTGAGGTAGATGCAGTGCTTGTTGGGAGTAAATTGTTGAGAATCATCTGCTTCATGTTTGGTGTTTGTAGAAGGGTTAGGACAAGGGCATATGCTGTGAAAATGTTTTTTGTTTGTCTTGAACAAAAGTGCTAATTGAAGCAGCAGTCTGTACTTGACTAATAGGATGAAGCTATTCTTTTGAGACTTTCCAAATGTTGAAAGGTCTAAAATCTTTATTATGTTTTAAGTTCTTCTTCAGAAATATGTTCTATCCACATCCTAGCAATAGCTGTGAAACTTAATCTTTGGTGCTGTGGGATTAAGGAAGTTTAGCCACCTAGCAGCAAAATGTTTTCAATAAATTTCCGCTTTGGTAAGAACACAAAAAAGCATGTTACATGACATTTTACAGGCTTATTTTAATCTTATAAATAAAGAAAATAATTCAGAGCACATGAGTTTTCAATGGACACAATTTTAATGCAGGCTTTCCATGAAGTCTACTGCTATGGTCAAGATAATTTAGGCTTTCTCTTCAGTGTTTCTTAAGAAGCAGTTGGAAACAGAAATACCTACTGTCTGTGGGCAGTTATGCCTGGTCAGTTAGCCGAGTACCTTACTAGTTTATGAATGCAGATCAAATTAAAACATTATTCCTAAATAGAAGTCTGTTAGAAAAGGAGGAAGCAGATACAACGGTTACATATTTGCTTCCTCTTGAGTTCATGTATGCAAATAAACACATAGTAAAGTTTCTGGCCATACATCACCTTGCAGAATAATTGAATTCATTTAAATCCTCCACTGCTATTTGTGGGAAGCAGGTCGTTTTTATCTTGCTGCACATTTCAGTCCTTTTTCTTGTATTAGATTCTTTTCAGTGATATCTTAGAAATTAGATGGCCTGACCCTGCTACGGCTGATCTGACAAGATGTATAGACAATGGCAGTGTGAAGATCTCATCAGTAGATGGCTATGCTCACCTTTACCTGTCAGAATTGCAGCAAGAATTTACAGTGGAATTCTTATGCAAAGTCAGCCAGTCATCTGCAGCACCCTTACACTCCTCTCAAAAGAACAGCACCTACCAAACCAGAGATCAGTATGGAAAATCAAGTAAAAATTCTGTTGCAGGAATGTCATTGAAACAAACAAGAACAGAGAATAAAAATAATGAACATGATAGTGCTGAAGGTAAATACAGGGAACCAGCCAAACCAAAGGACCAAAAAGACAGAGATGGAATCCCTTTGTGCTACACAAATTGTTCTTCTGAATACGTATGGGTGACACAGTGTTGGTCTGTTTCCTCCTGCCCAGAAGAATGGAAGTACCCTTTGTGGTTGGCACAAATGTGCTATAACTTACGTACTCTTAAGAATGAAATGAAGACATGTGGGAAAAGCAACCATACATCCATAGAAGCTGATGTTTTAATAGACCCCAAAACACATGAACCAGTTTCTCGTTTACCTTCAGCTTTGCCACTCAGCTGCAGAGCTCCACATTTACACAGGTAATTTAAGCTGCTTACTTTATAGTTGTTAACATACATTTTACAATTCTGCAATTTGGAACTTCATCCCCTAGCAAAAGAACCGAATTACAGGTATAAAAAATTACTATAATATTCTTTTTTTAGGAACTTCTTGAAACATGAGATTTGTGAAAACATTCTGTATCCTACTGTAATGAATATAATTAGTACAGAGGAAAACAAATTTTATTTTCTGACATGCTGTGTAAGTGTGTCAATGAAAAAGAGAATACCAAAAAAACCCCCACACGTTTTGGGTTGCTTTGGGTTTTTTTCATTTTTGAGAAGATGATACGTATGAGGTGGGCCAGTAGCATACATTCTCTGTCAGCACCAATTAAAATAAGCAAAAATTCTTCGCAAGTTTGAGAAAATTAATTTGGTAACTAATGTGGGTAACTAAGGAATCAGAGGACTCTGAAAATATGTGGCCTCTTTTCCTTTGAATAGATGTGCTTGTATCTGTTCTTGGTACAGAAATGATTACCAGCACACACAAAAAATCCCCAACCTTCGGACTCACTGAAGCTTTTGTTTTATTTTGTACAGGTGGACTTTCTGTGACTTCTTTCAGAATCAAGATACTGAAAAGTATTCATGCCCTCAGCTAATTCAGATCGTATGGTGCCAGGGTGTTTTTTATAGGTATGTAGGAGACCATGTGTTTCATCTTTGGAAGACTTAATTTGTAGGGGAATTCGGCTTTTAGATGAAATGTCTTACTTTGTTCCTTTCTCACTCCTTGTGAAACTGTACAGAGTCTTCATGTGAGAGACTGTTCATTTCTGCTGTTTGTTCATTTGACTTCACGTTTTCTAGTGCAGTGTATTTCCGGGTTTGAAGGTTGGTATGTGTGAAAGAACCAATCTGAAATAATGTTTAAGTCTTTTAAAGAAATTATGTGATTTCTTAAAGGTTTACTGGACAGCTGGAGCTCCCACAGACTTCACTGACAAATGTTTGTTGGTGACCTACAAAATTTCCATGTTGCAGGCAGCTAAAGTGTGGATTTCCTTAGCAAATCACCATGTCCATATGATTTAAAAAAAAAGAAAAATACTTTTTTTTAATTGCACTTTCAAACCTTTATACAGACTTTGAAAATGATACAGTTGTTATCAGCATCTAAAAGTCTTTGATAAAAGAATAATCGGTCTGTAAAGCTTTAATCTTTCTGCCCACCGTTCTTTATTTTTCTCAGTGTAATTACTAAATTTTCATATCATCTGAACAAAATGCTGAGCAGCTTTTCAGTACTGTACCTCGTTTCTTTGGAAGTAGCTGTACTTGGTCTACTAAGTGCCATTACCAAAGTCCTGGCATCTAACCACAGAGTTGCAGAACTGGGCCATTAAATGGATTTTAGGCTCCAAGATACCGTATAAGCACAAGTAAAAGAGCATTGATCTTAGAGACAAACACACATCTGCAGTGGGAACGAAGACTTCCAGGCTGTTCAGCAAATGTTCGGTCTGACAGTGTTCTGTATACACTAGGTAGGGCTGGTCTACTAAGAAAATCTGTTTTTTCTCTTTAGAATCGCTATACATTTTGTGGTTGGTGAAATGGGGATTGAGCAGCTCTTGTGAGATGTTTACCTCAACACAAAAAAGGTTTCCCTTGGCTTGCTTAAAAATAAACATACTAACCATCACCCCCTATGCAGACAGGCAAACAAAGAGCCTGGTAATGCTATTCTTCTGTGTTAAAGGAAGTAATTGGTACACTCAGCTGTTTGTGAAACAGTAGGAAAATTTTCATGTGAGAGTTGTGTTGAAAATGGGTTTCTGCTTAGTGTTTTTTTTCAAGTTACTAACCTGTTTTGCTTGTCTAGTGACACAGTATTTTAAATACTGTTTAAAAATCTTGTTATTTCTCTTAGATTTATCCATGGTAGGACAAACATCACAGAAATTTATCCTGGTGATGACTCGTTTTTCAAATCAGAGGGAGCATTTTTGGGAAACTATTTCATACATTATGCAATCCAAAAAGGAACGAAAAAGGTATAGAACCATAAATCTATTTTAAAATGTGTTCCAAATTCCTTCAAGTTAACCGTTTTCTTAGATTCAAGCCATTTGACTATGCAGTCTATAGTTTCGGCTGGGGTAGAGTTAATTTTCTTCCTAGTAGCTGGTATAGTGCTGTGGTTTGGATTTGGAATGAAAATAATGGTCATAACGTACTGACATTTTCAGTTGTTGCTAAGCAGTCAAGGGCTGTCCAGCTTCTTATGCTCTGCCCTGCCAGTGAGCAGGCTGGGGCCGCACGGGAAGCTGAGGGGGGGGCACAGCACGGGAAGCTGAGAGGGGGGCACAGCCAAGGACGGCGGCCCCCATCCAGCCAAAGTGATGTTCCATACCATTCTATACCACATCATGCTCAGTATATAAACTGGGGGAGTTGGCTGGGGAGGGACCACAGCTCATGGACTAACTGGGTATCGGTCAGCAGGTGGTGAGCAATTGTGCCATGCGTCACTTCTTCAGTACATTTGTTTATTAGTGTTATTGTTATCATTACTACCATCCTCTTTTTTCTATCCTGTTAAACTGTCTTTATCTCAACCTACGCATTCTACCTTTTTTTCTTTTTTTTTTTTCTGATTCTCTCCCCCATCCCACTGGGGGAGGGTGGTGCGCAAACAGCTGTGTGGTTGTTTTAGCTACCTGCCAGGTTAAACCGTAACAAGTCCCTACATTAGGAATTACTATAATGGGTGAATCAAGCAATCAATCATACAAAAGATGATACTATTGCTTCTGTTTCAGTATTTTGTAAATTATAGACACAGTAAGAAAAATCTTATTCATTGTAACATTTATTTCACAAGCCCGAGTGTGTACTTCAGCAAGATTCTACAGTAACCATTTCTCTCTAATTTAGAAGAGAATAATATATTGATTAGACTCTAATCTTTATGTACTTGGAAGTGTTTTCTTTTTCACTATATGGAGGCAGAATGTGGAAGATGCAGGTTGTGTTCTGGCTTTGCCACAGACAACCTGTTCATTACTGGAGAAATTGTTTTGCCTCTCTGTCTGTCTATTGTTAAGTCTCCCCAGAGTAGAGATACTGTCAAGTGCTTATGCAGTGCTTTGTATTTTTAAAGAAGAATTAACGGTCCACTTTGTAACCCTTTGAACCTAGCCTTTAACTTGTAGTCAAACATAGTTACTTAGTAATAAGCTACAGTCTACTCGAGAAGAGAACTAATTGGTCCATACTGAGTGCATGGAAACTTGTGAATGTTTCTTCCTGCAGAATTGGGCTTAAATGATACAATTGCATTTTTTTACTTTTCAAGGAGATATTTGTCTGTCTTCTGGGACAAATTTTAACGTGATTGTAGTTGCATTCTGGGTGGTCAGACATTTCATATCTTGCAAGGTCTTGAATGCTGTTTTCATGCTACAGTACCTTTAACTAACTCACCTCTTTTCTGCTCTTTACTGCAGAGAGAAGAAAAGATGTATTCGGTAAACAGCCTACCTCCTGATGTACCAGGAAATCCATACTCTATATCCTCCATTATTGCTCAGGCAACCAAGTAACTTTACTTTATCTTTGTTACATTACTTCCTCTGACTTTGGAAGGACAGTAGTTAAAATTACACATAATACTTATGATGACATTACATACCAAAAATTAAAGGAATTTATGTTAGCACTGAGGATGTCTGCAAACTTACAGAACAAAGGTTGCAACTACAGAAAACATAGTAACTATGAAATGCTTAATACTTTGTTGTTTTTTTTTCTCCTCAGAATACTTCAGTACTGCTACAAGACTAAACTATCCTTAACTCATAACTATCATCTCTGCTGCTGGAAAATGGTATGTAGCTGAAGATTTGTAAACCTTGCAGTGTTACAAGGATGATTATATGGGCTATAGGGAATAAGACCTAATCTAGAGAGAAGAATGATGAGTGTATCCTGTAAACAAAGATCAGAAGGTATATATTTCAGAACCAAGAGCAGGCACTGTAAGGGTGTATTGTGTGAAGCAGAAAGTAATTGTATGATAAAGAGGGCTGGTTCTGGTCTGGAAAAACAACTGCACTGAAAATCTGGGAGAGGTGCAAACAGCTGTAATGATGTGAGTAACCTTTCCTCATGTTTTTAATGTATTTAGAGTCACAGAATCTTTGGGTTGGAAGGGGTCTTTAGAGGCCATCTAGTCCAATCCCCCTGCAGTGAGCAGTGACATCTTCAACTAGGTCAGGTTGCTCAGAGCCCCGTCCAACCTGATCTTCAGTGTTTCCAGGGATGGGGCATCTACCACCTCTCTGGGCAACCTGGGCCAGTGTTTCACCACCCTCAGTGTGAAAAATTTCTTCCTTACATCTAGCTGAATCTATCCTCTTTTAGTTTAAAACCATTACCCCTTGTCCTATTGCAACAGGCCCTGCTAAAAAGTCTGTCCCCGTCTTTCTTCTAAGCCCTCTTTAAGGACTGGAAGGCTGCAATAAGATCTCCCCAGAGCCTTCTGTCTCCAGGCTGAACAACCCCAACTCTCTCAGCCTGTCCTCACAGCAGAGGTGTTCCATCCCTCTGATCATTGTTATAGCTCTCCTCCAGGCCCACTCCAACAGGTCCGTTTCTTTCCTTTGCTGAGGGCTCCAGAGCTGAACGCAGGGCTCCAGGTGGGGTCTTTCCAGAGTGCAGTAGAGGGGCAGAATCACCTCCATCGCCCTGCTGGCCACGCTGCTTTGGATGTAGCTCAGTTACATTGAATGAAGGCCCAGGTTGGCCTTCTGGGCTGTGAGTGCACATTGCTGGCTCATGTTGAACTCTTCATCCACCAGTATCCCCAAGTTCTTCTGGGCAGGGCTGTTCTCTATCCCTTCATCCCCCAGCCTGTATTGATACCAGTGTTACCCTGACCCAGGTGCAGGACCCTGCATTTGGCTTTCTGGAACCTCATGAGGTTGACAGAGGCCCATTCCTCGAGCTTGTCAAAGGTCCCTCTGGATGGCATCTGCACCACTCAGCTTGGTGTATTTGTTTGGTTCTAGGTACCTGAGACAGATGGGCGAGAAATGTTGCCAGTTTTGCTGTATGAAAAGGTTATTCCCAGCATAGGAAGACTCATTGTGTACTCAGATCATAAAGTCCATGCTGCTTTTTGGGATGGGATGACCTTGAATATGGTCTGGGATTTCAGCTCTTCCTCTAGTAAGATCCAGGTAAGTCATGAGTCAGAGGAATGACTATTCTTAAGACTCTTCATGAAAAAGTATTACTAGGAAACTAATGAGGAAATTAAACAAAAGTTTTGATGCCTATACAATACAAACCGAAGTCTTCTGAGAGATCCATATCTTGCAGTATTTTCTGCTGTGGCTTAGTCTTGAGATTGTGTAGTAGTCTAAATGAAAATGGGAACTATCCACAAACGCCAGCATTAATGTATTGCCAGTATTTTAACTGGAAAGGAGGAGGAAAAATATTTTAGTGCCTAACTGATGCCTGAAGAGGCAAATGAAACTTTATCCTTTTAAAGAAGTCACTCACAGGGATCAAAGAAGGGTATATTTGGTTTTTATTTCAAATTATCTATAATTGAGCAAATGCATATTAAAAAATTACTTGGAAAAGTAACCTTTGCACATATGGGTTTCCATATACATTTTTATATTCACTTAATCTAGAAGTAAAAACAAAGATCATGTTGATCTTTGAAAAATGGCACTATAGAGAAAATCATGTGAGTGTGGGATTCAAGGTTGGCTACTGAGACTTTTGAGTTCTCTGTCTTTACTTACTACCCTAAGGTAACAAGACACAAAAAAGATCTTTAAAGTGTCTGAGGATATCTCTATCATAAACAATATAAATATGATAGTCAGTTTGTCAAAAGATGCAGTATAACTTCCTGACGTGAGCTAGCTCAAATATGTATACTTGCTCATGATAAAAGGAGCAAGAACTGAAAATTCTACAGTTTGGGAAACACTTCTACACACTTTTAGAAATAACGTATTCTTGAGTAGCATGAAATGAGTGTTGGGGCCATGCCAGGTGTTCTTTTCCCCGCACATTTGTCATAGCAGACTATACCAAATTTTGTCCTTAACAAAACATAAACTTTTAAGTGTTTAAAGCAGAATGTTCACAGATAATTCTTAAATTGGCATATTACACTTGCCTTTTTTTTCTTCAGACTGCAGCAGAAAATTAATACTTTTTTTTTTCCTTCTTCTTCTAAGGTAAATGAAGATGTAGGCTGGTGTAAGTTAAGTACTCCTGATGGGGTACAGCAGCTAATACAAATAAGTCATCCTGGAATCTATGAAAGGTATAAGTAATTTAAACAATTTAAAGTTAAATATTAAAGAATTCCATACAAATCCTTTCATAAAAAGAAATGCTATTTACTGAAAATATATTGGGGGGTGGGGACTAAACACATAATGATAAAAGCTCCGTCTTACATCTGGCAAAGATTCATGACCTGTATGACTTGGGACCACTGCATGCTTGTCATTCCATTATAATTGTTACAGTAAAGTCTTTTTAAAAAAATAACTAGAGCTGCAACTTGGCACTTACATCAGTGGATAAGGAAGAAAAAAATCTTTGCCCTGTGTAGAGCTGGTACTTAGAACTGGATAGCAGTTTATCCAATTTTTGCTTTATTACAGATACTGACCTCTGCCTGCAGATTGCTTTCTCTAATCTGCTCTAATTACAGCCCCATTATGGGAATCTTCAGAAGCTTACTGTGCTGCATTTTAGCAAGCAGATATTCAGACACAAAAAACAACATTTGTATACTATTCATTACAAATCATACAGCTTTGTTATAATTTTCTATAACTGCATAGATTGAAGTATGAAGGAGATTCTCGGGAAAAAGTGGGAAGCAAAAAATAGCAAGGAAACCTAGAGAAAAAGCCAGATTTTGAATCATGGCTTTTTCGTTCAGATCCAGGTGTATTCCTTAATGCCTTCAGTTTTTTGCTTGAATTAATACAGTATATTTCTCATATAAATAACTACTTTTTTGTGAATGTTCATGTTAACATAGGTACATCAGAACAGCAATAGAATGGTGCAGAAGTTTGAACGAAACGAAGAAGATTCCTGAATATACTGCAGACTCTCTAACTGAAGAAAATTGGTATTCATCTTTATCCTAAATAGTTGACTACAAATAATGTTGAATATAAAACTAAAAAACCCTATAAATTCTGAATTTTATAGACTGCATTTTCTGAGGGTCAAAAATGACAGTTGTAAGTCCATTTATTTCATGTGATTTCATATTTTTCTTTCAGTGTTCAAAATTGTAGGTAAATTGAGTTCTAGGTGAAGCTTGTTTCATTGCGCTTCTGCCTGCCTTACTTAAAAATCAGAATTATGCTGACTTTGCCAAAGGAGGATTAATCTTACAGAGATGGTATCTTGCAAGATGAAAAAGAGAAGCTAGACTAAGAAAGGCATCTTTCCCTGGAACACCAAGCAATTCAATATAGTACTTTGAACTGCTAAGTTACACTTGTATCTCTTGCTGATATATTTGTCGGTTTTAATATATGCCACTGACCAAAGATCTACTGACATCACATACAAACATATTTGGGTATTAAAAATATGTTAATTGAAATTGATTACACCATTCAAATTGTAGCAGATTCAGTAGATTATGAAATGAAAATTATGTCTATGTTTATACATATATATAGCAAAGAGAATATTCTTGCAGCAGATTTTTGGAAACAAATGATTGACAAATGGCAGCCATTGACTAGTGGTATGAAAGACAAAAATAAAGCATTTTCTAACTTTGCTCATCTAATTTTCAGTATTGCTGGAAACTATTACAAATTAGAATCTGAAGTAGAAAATACATTTGAGAATGTTTTGTGATACTAAATCATTCAGTAATCTTTTATTTTCTTGGACAGGTCTGCTGATGCTGAGCTCAAAAAAATACAGAGATTTAACTGTATCCTTTTAAAAGCTGTAAAGATTTTTCACTTTTGTATTGTTCACCTGTATATTCAGATCTGCATCAAAGGCTCTCTATCCTGTTCTCACTTTCTTTTACTGTCTTACCCACTTAAAATTACCTTTTTTTTTAAAGCCATTTTTTGTTTTATCATTCATCTTGTCCAACTTTTGCATCACAACACCAGAAGCAAAACCAGTGGCAGACTACAAAACTAAAATAAATTTTAAAAATCATCAAAAAAGGATTCCCTTTAATGGGTGTTGCATTAGTTTTGCTAACACTCATCTGCTGATATGTTCTTGAAAGAGGGATGATGCAGTTGTTTTTGGGCTCATTGTTGCAGTACAGTATCTTTCTGTTTATCAGCTACCTCAGTATTGTTCCATTGTGTTTAGCTAGCTCAAAAAAGTGTGCTGCGCTGCATGGGCTTAAAGCCAATGTGTAATTGTCTTTAAGCCCATGTTCAATTTTATTACTATGAAAAGTGCATGCTGTTAAACTGTGCAGTGTGACATCAGATAGTGTCCTTTTAAACTAACTTTTGGATAAATTGAAGTCTTAAAAACATTTTCTATAAATGTGGTAGCCATTTTAAGTAATACAGTCTTTTATTTTTTAGCTTTATGTAATTACCATGCCATGCCATGTGAGACTTTGCAATGCAGAATGATGAGTACAAATATGGAGAAGTATTTTTCTCATTAGGAGGAAGAGTTTGATATTTTTTTCTTAATGAAGTAACACCAGTTTTATTGGATAATAGCAAAGTTCTGGAAAGGACATCTGCTGTAAAAACCAATCCATCTGGTATTACTGTCAGAAAAACAGAAAACAAGAGTGAGCCGGAAGAAATCGGTGAACAGTCCGTCTTGGAAGCTTTGGAAAAAACTTCTAAAGTAATTCAGGATATTGAATCTCTGCTTGCAGCTTCTGGGAAGTGACGCCTCACAGCACGTGAAGACCTGTGTTATGTACCTTCGTAGGAGCTGTCCCAGCTACGTCTGAGGAGGCTTTTCAGTGCCGGAGGAGGGAAGGCTGAAGGCAGAGTAGTGGAATGTCTTTTCAGACCCGCAAACTCTGGTCAGTTGCTGTTGTAATACCACAGCTGTGTATTGTGGACAGGCAAAAAGAACAGGTGATGTAATAGTGCACGGCTATGTAAATACATCAGGGCCAGCGTGACAGTGCTGCTTTTAACTGTAGGAATGTCTTGTTTTATTTTATAGAGGATGGTGCCAAGCAGCTTAGTTCTAGCTACTCTAGTAACTAGGGATAAGAAGTTTCAACTGTAAAAATGTGCTTTTATTCAGAAATTTACACCAAGTAGTCCAATACTGAATAAAAAGTTTCCCAAATGCTTCCTACTCTACTGTTTTGTAGTAAATAAATGTTTACTTAAAACATCTTCAGGCCTTTCTGGTGTGTGATCTGTCACTCGGGGTGCACCATCCCATTAGTGATAAAATACTAGTCTTTTACCGTCGGTTTCTCTTCCAGCGCTTTAATCAGTCTTCTTGTGAATACCCAAACTCTTCTGATAGTGCTAGAAAAAAATTCCTCCCTCAAAACCTCCCCGTTCTCTTCACTCCAGTGCGGCACCCGGCGAGGAGGGGAGGAGAC